CCTCAAATCAGAATACATACTTCAACGGTTTTATTCTGACGGTTGTACATATCCGTTAAACATATTAATTACATTGCAATATGGATCTACAATATTTTTTTTTTTTATTATTACGCAGCTTTCGTCACAATTGACGCCTCTGCTTTTATATATTCCAATCACATTGCAATATTCATGTACAATATTTTTTATTGCAGCTCACGTCTGAATTGATGCCTCTGGCTTTATGTTTTATGGAAAAAAATTACATTACATATAATTCCTTTGCTCCATACGATGAATTCTTCATATATCATTTCCTCCGTCCATCATATATCATTTTCACACGTCCGAGCTTTCTGCATAGTTTGTTGTGGAACTGTCAAAACTGTCAAATGTCCCCTGATTATACACTTGGGTTGTGTTCTCATCTACACTGCGAGTACAGAATATCTATAGTCCATGTCGTATAGTACTCATAGAGTAACTATGTGCTCTAGCACTGTTGCCTTTCATTTCTTTCTTATGAAACATTTATTTGAAATAACATGTACTGAAATTTTTATATAAAATTAAAGAAAAATACATAAGAATATATAAGAATAATAAATCTAATAAAATAAACAAAAAAGAGATATTTTGAAACAGAAAATCTAAAATATTTTATATGTTATTAATTATGATATAATATATGACAATACGCAAACAGCGCAATGTTCAAAATGGGATTATAGAACGTCTTTAAAACATCTTTAAGACAAATTTATAAGATATCTTAAAGATGTCTTAAAAATGTCTTAAATATATATATATATATATATACCCAGATAGCCAAACCTGCGCGAACAGATTTCGAATAGAGCTTACTATCAACTTTTGATGGCAAATAAATAACAAATTTGATGCAGGATTTGTTATATCAAATCTTGCTGCCAAATTGCCGCTAGATATGCGGCAGAGCTGGTTGTCGGATAATTGCTGCAGATTTGCAGCAAAAACCGCGCAGAGCTTGTAGCGATTTGACGGCAGATTGGCGGTAGAAACCGCGCAGATCTTGCTGCGCTACAAATTTGGCACCAATTGCCCGACAGCAAGATCTGTCGCCAAAACCGTAGCCTAATGTAGGCACAAATGGCTATGGTTTTG